ATGTTGAATCCTCTCCTGTTTCAATCAAGGATGAAAGACATCCAGGAAGCTGAATTGAGGTTACATTCACCACCCAACAGATACTACAGATTTTCTTTGAAACTTATAAGATGTTTGCCTTGGGTTTACAAAATCCCATAAAAATCCTGCCTGGCTATTGTAATCTGGAGCCCTTCCAAAGTGCCCAGAGCAGTATTTTGTTCCTAGACCATCAGTGACGCGGTATTAGTGCAATAAATACGTCATTGGAAGGCCCACGCAGGTTTTGTTGACTTTTCCCAGAATCTTCCTTTTCTGTTCCTCTCTGCTGTGAAGTAGAAGGCATGGCTCCATGCACAGCTGTGACACTTTAAATCCTCCTTCCAAAGGGTGCATGTTGCCTTGAGAACTCTGCCCTGTTCCATGTGAAAGAACCTTTTATATTTTATGTAATCATTTCTTAGGCAAAAAGTATATTAGTAGAAACTAGCCTCACAACTTATCTTTTTAAAATGACTTTGGCTGCTCTCCTGTTTTTTTCTTTTCTATCATGTCAGTTACCTGAAAATTAAACAAGCTTTTGATAAACTATACTTTGGTGTATAGCAGACCTGAGTTGTCATAATCCTGCTTGTCTTCAGTAGATGTTTATTGAGAACCCATTATGAGTGAGGCATGTGGTTCGTATGTAACATAAGAGTGTGCAGGTGTGGGCAGCTTTGGGTGTGAATCCTAGTTTCACAAATGCTTTCTGTGGACACAGAGCAAGTGTTTTTAGCCTCTGAAAGTCATAGTTTCTTCTTCTGTAAAACAGAATTCGGGGGCCTCCCTGGTGGCACAAGGGGTTGAGCACCGCACTATGAAGCAATCCATAGCCTCTGCAGCACGAGTTCGATCCCTGGCCGGCCAGGGAGCAACCTACATGGCGAGGCAGACCCCTCCTGTCTCGCCCGCCAGTCCCCTCAGCAGTGTATTTCAGTCAGTCTGCCTGTTCTGTTCCCCACTGTGTCTCTGGTGAATCCTCTCATCCCCCCGCATCTCTGGCCTGTACCCCAGCTCTTATATGCATACATCTTTAAAAAAATAAATAAAATGGAATTCATATACTTTACATCTTAGGGTGACAAAGCGAAGATGAGCTGATCTATATGAAAGGCCCAGCACAGTACCTGGCACATGATCAGGCCTCTTATATTATGATCTCTTAGTGCAGTCAACGGTGTGGGGGGGTGGGGACTGACACTTAAATGACAGTACTATGTAAGTGACAATATTAATGTATCAGATACCATTCTAATTGCATCGTAAATATCAACTCATTGAATCCTCAGGCAGACCTGTGAAGTAGGTGCTATTACTATCACATTTTCTAACTGAAGAAACTGAGAGAACTTAAAGTAAATTGGCTCAAAGTCATACAGCTTGAGTTGTTAGTCAGTACCACACCAAGACATGTGTTGCTGCTCATTACACACTATGGCCTAATATTACCAAACTGGCTCTTTCAGGGGAAAATGTGTGAAAGTCTTTCTCTGTGAGACAGCTTATCCAATGTTCCAACAGGAATTAGGAGAGAAATTGAAGTTTGTAAGAAGCAGTTTTCCATTTGGGTTTGATCTCAAGTCTCATCTAGAACTTAACCACCCTACCTTCCCCAAATTCAAGACCCATCAGTCATTTGCCGAGTTCAGAAATGGGTTTGCAAGTTGTTCCTTTACCTTTCATGGAAGAATAGGGAGTACCCAGCGCAGAACAACTTTCAGTTGTTGACAAAACTGGGCATAAGTAGTAATATTCTTAATGAAAGAGGGAGAGAAGTTTTCCAGGGTAGATGGAAAGATAAGACAATTCTGTCTTCCTGAAGACTCAGGAAGAGCATACAGCCTACATCCTATACAGCCATAGCATAGGATGCTTATCTACATGTGGCTTTCTTTCAGTTATTTTAGATCATTTTCATTTTGCATTTATACTGAAAGTTAAGTGATTCAGAACCCAAATGAATTCACAAATATACAAAACCTATAACTTGTGATATAAACTATAGCTTCTTTATAATTGGCCAGTAATGTATAGTTTGCAGGAGGAAAAAAAAGTTTGAGAACATTCAGGCTTGAAAGCACAGACCTGTGGGTTTAATATCCTACTTCCTGCTTTTGTGATGTTGGTCAAGTGACTTCTTGCCAACCTTCAGGGTCCAGTCTGTCGAATGGGATAACAACAATGGCCTCTTGGAGTTGCTGGAAGGATGCAGTAAGATGACGTATGTAAATGCTTAAGGTGTAGGGGTCTCATGGTGACAGTCATCGCCACCCAGGTTTCAAGGAGAAAGAATTAAAGCTACCTTTAGGAAACAGACCATTTTGATAGCAATATCTCCAAGTCCCAAGAAACAGGAACGTAAGTGCTGACTGATGGCGTGTATGGCTTTGAGAGTGATGCAGAGATGGGTTGAGGGGTAAGGGATGCTGCCTAGTATTCCCCATCGCCCCAGGTTCCCTCACCCTTGTTTCCCAGCCGCCTGCAGGGACTGAAAGGAAAAAGTGTGCAAAGGAAATCCTCTGAAATTTACCCTGATGCAGCCAAGCCTTGGCTCCCAGGGGCCAGGAAAAAGGTGGCTTAACTAGCAGTCCAGCCATAAGGTAGGCGAACCGCCCCAGAAGCACAGCCCTGTGTGCGCCGTGCTCAGAGTCAGTGAGTGTGCCAGGTTGCAGAATAACTTACAATGGAAATATCCACATAAACAGGTCATGTCTGGTTTTGATTAAATTATTGCGTATGAAAGACCCATTGGAGATGCCAACAGTGTGTGGTAATTACAGTATCCTCCAAAAAGTGTCATGATAAGAAATTGGCAAACTTGCACATATATGTCACTTATTTTTTTAATTATAGAAATAACCTTTTATTTATTATAGGACACTTGAAAATCAGAGAAAAACACTAAGGAAAAATAAAAACCCTCATTATTCCACTACCCAGTATATCCACTAGTCACATTTTGGAAATTATCTTCCAGCCTGTTTTTTTTCCACTTACGACTTTCCATAAATTTTCCTAATTGTTATCATCCCGTACATATTGTGCTATAATTTGCTGTTTTCATAAAATAGCATAAACATGTTTTATGAAATTATTTTTCCAACATCACTTTTAATATCTTCATGGTTTTGCACAGTAGTTTACTTAACTAGTCCCCCTGTTGTTTGATCTAGGTTGTTCCCAAAATTCTGGCTGTCATAAGAAAATGAATGATTGTAACTAAAGTTTGTACCAAGTTCACTGTAAGTCCACAGAAATGCTGTCAGAGCTGTACACACTGTGTTGCTTTGAGGACTTGGTGTTGGGCCGTCAGAGTGTTGAACAGGCCAATGTCCTAGAAAGCAGTTCTCCGTGCTACGTGCCCATCTGGTGGGCTGGAGAGACCCATTGCTATGGGAGGAAGGAGAGGCCACCTAGAAATCTCTCACCAGCTAAATTTTCTGCAAGTTCAGTGGGGTGTGATTTTTCTGATGACTTCACCAGTGAACAGTGAAAGCATTCTCAGCAGCAGACATACTTGTTAACTAACAAATGCTGGCACTGATAGGTCAGGCAGTGAGGACTAAGAATTACCTATAATTCTATTCCCTTATTTGCTTAATATTAGAAATTAGAATTTAACTATGTATCGTGTTGAAATGAAATACCTTCTTGACCTGCATTTATAAAAATCACGTAGACTTGCCAACATGTGTTGGCTTAAATAACTGTTTTGAGCATTGCTTATTTAGTAAAGATTTAAAAGCTGCCAACAGTGTTAAAAGGACTGAATGTATATGAGAACTGGCAGAAGCTCTAATGAAAGAGCATTCAGAGAAAAGGGCAACTATGCCGTGAAGCTGAAATGAAATTCCAGTACTGCGGACGGACATAGCCTGTGCGGGAGGAGAATGTCTTGAGATGAGTGAAATGCTTCAGACTGATGAAGGGCAGTGCTGGCTGTGAATAATCAACAAGTCGACAACATTTGAAGAACATATCTAAAAATACGTGCCCCTCCTGGGAGCCCTGCAAGGCCCCTGATCGTTTCCTCGACTCTCGTAACTTCTCTCTCTGACCAAACACTCCTCTTGCAGTCAAAACAAAAAGACAGTTTCTTGTATCTCTTTTCAGTAACCAGTACCAACAGGAGCAGGTCTCTGAATCTGATCATTGGACCTATTAGGTGTTATCTGAGAAGATCAAGACTGTCATTTGGCTTGACAAAGAACTACCTGAATAAATATATAAAATGCCCCTGTGTTTTATTAAGAGCCTCCAGAACCCCCATGTGACTGAGGGAAGCTAATATTTCTGGTTTCCAGAGTTCCTGAACCTGTATCTCTTGTGTTTTCATAAATGTTCCAACAAAAACATGAATCAGCAGCCACTGTCTAGCACCATATCCCGGGAACCTGAGATTGATTTTGACATCACCTGCTTTTCAAAACTTATTTCTTAAATTTTTGGGCTGTCATCATATTAGAGTTCTGAACATACCTTGTTCCTGCTTATTATTGGTTTGCCACTATTATATAGTGATTATTAATAAGTACTTTGTAGGCAGGTTTCCTGTGAAGCAGGTACATTACTAAGTATTTTTCCTACATCATCTCTAATCTTCACGATCATTTCCCAAGGTGTAAGTATTCCTACATTACATGTTAGGAAGCAGGTTCCGAGGAGGTCGGTTATCTTCTCGTGTCTGAGAAGACATGCAGTAGTTATGAGTGACTGCAAAGCCATCTCCCACCCTGTTTTAAGCAACAAAACGTAATAATGGAACATAATCGGAATGGAACACGCATAATGGACAGAGAAGTATATGAAACATTGTAAGAAAAACCCAAATTCTCCACCTTGTACAGCTAGTTCTTCAAGAGAGGCGTCAGCATTTTCCTAGCGCTTTATCAGCTTTTTGCCAGTTTGTGGTGTTTTTTTTTAATGTTAAATTCACTATTTCAGAGCTACCCCCTCCTCCTGCCCCTTTGATCTTCCAGGCCCTCAGTACCGCCTGGAGAAGCAGAGCGAACCCAATGTCGCCGTGGACCTGGAGAGCACTTTGGAGAGCCAGTGCGCGTGGGAGTTCTGCCTGGTCCGCGAGAACAGTACGTTGGCCTCCTTGCTCCAGCCTGCTTTGTCCCTTGCGAACAAGCTTGCAAGTCCTGTGTTTGGGAACACTCGCTGGTCTGGCTTCCTTAGGCAGATTGGAAGTTACTTTTTCTAAGATAGGCCGCAGCCTTCATGTCAGAAGTGTCCCAAAGTCAGATGATTGATTTTGTGCTTTTGGCAAAGCGTCTGCATCCTGTTTAGCACTCTGTGATTAATATTTTCCTATTAAACTCTATCTTCCAAAGTTAGGAGCAGCCCTGGAAACAGCTTAGAAATGTGAGGCCTTTTCAGAGGCAGCAGCTATTTTGTATATAAAGCAACTGGCCCTGTCAGTATCACTGTTCGGACATCAAGTTTGAGAAAGTTCTGACTGTTTATATATCCTCAGCCCCAGGCGGTGTGCTGGTTCCTAGAACTATGTTGGAAGCCTCTTTAAAACTTCAGCTCATTTCTTTCTTTCTCTGCCTCCCTCTCCAGTATATTCGCATGGCTTCAGGGCAAGTGACGGAGAAACTGCTATTATGAAGCCCACTGCCCTGGCCATCCCTGCTTGGGGGCTCTTACACAAGCTCTTTCCTCTGCACGGACACTCTTCCCCCCACTCTGCTGAAACTGCTTTTTCGTCCTCTTCTCGATGGAAATGTCACATCTTGAGAGGAGCCACCTGCTCAACCTGGTCCACCCTCATTTGGGTTCCCTGTTGTATTTCATCAGAGAGCGTGTTACTTTTTCTTTACCACATATATTTCTGTTTGTAGTTATTTCTTTTTCTCAATGATTGTTTGATGTGTCTCTCCCCTACTAGATTATCAGGTCTTTGAGGGTGTCCCAGACATGCACCAGGGTGCCCTTCAGTCAGCAAATAGTCACTCATTACCAACACAGACCAGCCAACCATGTCCTGGTATAGGAAGTCCATAGTGAATTGTTTCAAATGTTTGATTCTTTGTTTTCCAAATAACATTAAATGTTATTTATTAGGGCCTTGGTACCCTTTTTGGTTATGCAACACTTAAACATATAAAAAATGTTCAGGTCACAGGCAAAAAATTTAGCCTCTCTTCTCTCCCCTAGTTCCCTTCCAGTTGTTCCCAGTTTCGTCAGTGTCTTTCCTAGCAATCCTCTGTGTATGCAAGCATGTTCTGTGTGTGCATGTGAATATACACACACGTGTATATATACATACATATACACATGCACACACATTTGCATTCCCCCTTTAAAAGCAAATGATAGCAAACAATCATCAGTGTTCTGCACTTTTCTTTTTCAGCTCAACTATGTGTCATAAAGATTATTCCACCTTAATCCATATGTTATTCTACATATAGTTTATTCTTTTAAAACTATTACATAGTATTCCACAATAGACTATGATTTCAAATTACATACTCGTTTTTTTTCCCAAAAAGATGAGACCCAATTTTCTTACACTCATAAAATATAGTTGTGAGAATTAGTAGATAAAGCTTTGATCACGGGCTCTTGTTTTCACCCAATTTCTAAGCATGCGCACAGACTTAATTTGAGACCTCTGTGCACCTCAGCCTCCCCATCTTAAGAGATATGTGAGATATACCTAGTACTTCCACTATGAGTTGAAATAACTGTGTTAGTAAAGAAGCCCTTGACAGCATTTACAAAGGACATAAGGTAGTTGATGGTTTGGAATCAAAGGAACATTATAACTAGTCTTTGTAAAATAGAGGTAAATTATAAATTCTCCCTTTTTATTAAAACAAAGGTTTTATAAAATTTAAATAGAAATTCCAAGAATCTAATATTGTTCCCCAGTGCTACCTATTAAGAAATTGATTTTTGAAATACTTCAAAAATAGTCTTTTCACTTCCATGCACATTTGATCAGGACAGGCTTGCTGTCCTGAAAGCCATTTTAGAAGTAAACTAAGTTGTGAGCTTATATTATGCAGTGTTTAAGAGAATTTTTATGGAGACGGAATGCTGTGGTTCACTCAGGCTCTGACACTCACTGAGTGACCCTGGACAATTTAATTAACTTTTGGGGGTAGTTTATCTGCCTTGCTAAGGTTAATAGGAGGGTTTGGTGAGTTTTAAAAATCATAAAAGCTCTTAGAACAGTACCTGGCACATAATAATCACTTGATAAATGTTAATTACAATAAATAATGAAAGAGCAGCATTCTGTGTCTGGTAACATAGGTGGGACACAGGAGTGGAGATCTGGACTTGCAGAACTTTCAGGACTTCAGGGAGATGTGTGGTGGAGGAGAGTGTGATGCAGATGAAGAGGAAAAATGAGGGAGTGTGGGAGTGGGAGGCGAGTCTAGGTTTGTGTCGAAGAACCAGAGAGCTTAGAAGCATTGGTATTTTCCAGGAAACATGTTTGGTGACCCACAAGGAGTGTATACCCTATAAATAGAACCATTTGATTAGGAAAAGTGCTGTAAGAATGGATGTAGCCACTTAGTTTTTTTCTTCTAAGGAGGCACAGGGCATAACTTTTTAGGGCAACCACACCAAAAGATGTTTTTAAAATTATTTATGCAGGCCCTCTATTATAAAGCATTCTATGGTAAAGCTATAAACATCTAAATGCTCTTGTTTCTAATTTTCACAACAACCCTATGGGATATTAGTCTGATTGTGGGGAGAGGCTGTTACTTGCCCAAAATTAGCTAGCCAGTAAATGATAGAAACCTGAATTCTAAGTCAGCTACCTGATTCTCAATCCCACGCTGAGATAGTTGATGAAAACGACCTTACTTCTCAATCCTAAGAATGCTGATGACAATCGCTTTTATATACTATGAGTGAGAAGCTCACAGATGAAGCTGATAGACAACAGTTCCTGCCTAGGGACTGCGAGCTAACATTTGTGCTTGGATCATGGCCTAAATAAGAAAATGACAAGCCAAAGTCCTTGAGCTTTCCAGTTTCGATTCTTGTCTGATAATCTACTACATCCTTCAGCCAACCGTCTGCGCAAAGCTGGAGTCAGACCAGAAGGAAGCATGGGTACATTATGGCGAGCATGTAATGTTAGATCTCCATTCTCTCCAAGCGTCTATATAAATCCTGGCACTAAACTGAGCCTCAATTTCCTTTTCTCCAACTGTTGCCAGTGACCTTTTCCCTTCCCCACTGGTAGGTAGCCTGTTCGGGTCCCTCAAAAAAAGATGGAGCATGAGCCAACTTGTTCTTTCCACAGCTCTAAGCGAGAGTAACTGGAAATTTCCCATCATCGGGGCTAAAATAGACCCGAAATTAAATTGGCTTTATGGGATACCAGCCAAGTGTCACACACTGGCTTTCACTTGCTGGCCTACCTTTCTAGTAGCGCAGCGTAGTGCTTCACGCACAGTCTTTAGAATCAGGCAGAGCTTGGGTGAACCACCGAGCCTCTGACATTGGGCCTATCATGTCCCCTCTCTGAAGCTCTTTCCTGTGTAAATGGAGTGACTAAGTCTATTTGACAAGGCTGTTGTAAGGATTGAATGAGATGCAGGTGCTGTCATGATAGCAACCTTTTAAGCTAGGATGGTCACCTTTATCTTATAAAAGAAGAAACTGAGGCTTAGAGGGGTGCTTTGCCAGAGTCACAGAAGTTCCTGATCAACCTACAGAACCATGTCCCTGTCCATTAAGTCCAGTGAACAAGTGGAATCTAATTATTTTATTTCCTAAATAGAAGTTGCTGTAGAAAGAGGCTTCAGTTGTTTTTTTTTAAACATCAAGTCAACCTCCTTTGATCTCCTTTCCTTTTCAAAGAGATCTTCCATTATTTCAATATCTTATTGACATTTGTAATTTCCTTAAATGAAGTCTCTGCTGAGGAAAGGCCACAATTCTACACGTGCAGCTGACTAGGTGGGTGGTGGCCGGTGGCTGGGAGGCCTATCTCTGGGTCAGACAGCAGGAGCCCACTTTTACCTCCTTCAGTTCCCTTGGAAGGCCTCAGACCACCCATTCCCTGGGCTCTGAGCCGGGTCCTGTGCTACTGAGTCCAGGGCCACAGCGGAGAGCCCCCACAGTCACAACTGTCGCGGAGCCCACAGTGTGATAAGTCCAATGAAGGCTATAAAATTGGAAGGCAGGGGTCTGGTGCTGGTAAGAGGAGGGGAACGCTTCCCTGAGGAGGGTAGAGAGGAGCTAGTCAGATGATGAATAAAAACGAGAACGGTCCAGGCCAAAGGACTGCTGGCTTAAGGCCTGGAGAAGGAGCTGGGCATGCTGGGAGTAAGCACTAGTATGGCAGGATCGGCGCTGAGGAATAATGCGCAGAGGGGATGCCGAGGGGAGGCAGCGTCACAGTGTAGAGCCCACAGTTTGGTCCCTACCCCTCCCTCACTGATTCCACACAGGGCCCCACCCTGAGGGCAGAAGCTAGGTCAGCTAACCCCTGCAGCCCAGTGCAGCTGGCTCCCCTCCCCAGGCTCCCACTAGGGCGCCAAGGGACAGATATGCAGTGACTTTTATTTATTTATTTTTAATAGGATAGAGCCTTATTTATTTTTTTTTAAGGATTTATTTTTATTTATTTATTTATATAAGCACTGGGTACAGTCAGAAGCGCGGGAGGGTGAGAGAATTCACCAGAGCCAGAGCGGGGAGCAGAGCAGGCAGAAGGACCGAAGCACACTGCTGAGGGGAGCAGCGGGCAGCAGGAGAGGTCTGCGCGCCATGTGGGACCCTCCTCTGGTGGCCGGGGAGCAGCTGGCCTTCCCGGTGGCGCAGCGGTTGTGCAGTGACTTTTAGAGAGAACTTAGGGTTTGACTTAGGGTTTGGATGAGCATCTTTATAGGGATTTCTTCTTGGTAGTTTCTTGGGGTTCCCCACCTACCACCTCATAATACTATAAAGGAGAAGGCAGGGAAGGAAACTACAGCCAGTGGATGAGCGTCTGCTTATCCTGGTGTGTTTCCAGATCTTCATAGTGGGGCTTATTTACAGTGGGCGGATTCCTCCTCCCGTAGACGTGCTCTGTGCCAGCCCTGGAGACTCCCTAGTGGCTCTG